TGTTTATTTATGAAGAATTTATGTTCCGTCGTAAACAGTTAGTTGCAGAAGATATGGTTAATGACGTTTCTCATGAAAGCACCTCAGTGTTCATTCTTTAACGTTTGGCACTGTGCGACTGGTTGTTATGACTTATAACCCTGTATGTTGTCTATTTGTACAAGAGTAGATGTTGCAATCAACGCATTCGAGAAAGAATTCTCATGACACTAGAAAGTTTTTTAAAGAACAAATTCTGTAATTTTTCGTTTTGAGGAACTCTGACAGTTCTTGGTTACGTCCTTGCAACCGACTATCTCTAAAAGACTAAAACTTTATTAGTGACATCTTTGTTGTCCTGCCCATACTTTTTGAGTTAATTAAAACAAAGATTTTGTGGAAGAATGAATTTATTAATGCACCACACTTGTCTAATGACTTTTCTGAATTAAACCCCTTTAGCACGTTGTGTGGTAATCGGCTTGGTTTTTATTCTGAGTTATAGCCCTATAACACGTTGTCTGGTAATCGGCTTGAATTTTATTTTGAGTTATAACCCTATAACACGTTGTGTGGTAATCAGCTTGGATTTTCAGGTGTTTATTCGGGTTTGGTCTCTCTTTGTGAACGAGTCTTGACAGAGTATTCGCTTGTTTTATTTTTTGCGCAGAAATGTTCGGCAAGACACTAGAGAAACACCGATTAATGCAAGGAGAAGAGAGATAAGAACTCTGTAAGCATCGCCATAAGTCTTCCAGCCGACCGACAGAGTACTTCGCAATGATCATCGATGGTATGGATCAGAGCAAGATTATACTGCCACACTTCACAAGGATTCCAAAGGATTCGAAACTGAAAGAAGGGAACTTTGTGAAAGTTCACGTGGTCGGTGCCAAGGTGTTAGGATTTTCATCGTCCGCCTTTGCAACTGTGTTCTTTGACAACTTCAAATCCGATTYTAATTGCATGCRAAMTRTTCTTCATTGCYGGAWTTCTTAACTTCCTAGACCATTTCCAAAAGTCTKRTATCTCAYACTTGATAACACTTCGAAAAAGAACAAGAACAAATTWGTGTTAGCGTATTTTGTTTTCTTASTAAAGATGAGAGTGTTTGGTAAAGTTAAGTCAAACTTCCTTCTTSTGGGTCACACAYACGAGGACATTGATCAGATGTTCARCTGTTTCTCGAKAAAGTTRGTTGTACATGAYGCGTTCGATCTTCCTGAGTTGCAACACATCATTATGGAGTCATACAAGGTWGAAYAAGATCATGACGTTTACGTTGAGGARATGACGGAAACAATGGATTGGAAGTTGTACATTCAGGATCATCTACAAAATGTCAATGATATTAGTTCAATCAACATTTTCGAATCAAGCGCAACGACGACGAAGAGGTGCGCATTTGGAGCAAGCAATATCACAATTCGCAGTGGTAGCCGAACGACAGAGAAGGTCTGGACATCTTCAAGTCAGAGCCAACAGGACAAGTTCAAGCTTCGCCAAAGCAGGCAATCCGATCTTTGGAAGCCAGATTTTGGCTTACTTGTCGGGGTGAGGACGAGAGGCGTGACAAGGTCGGCAGCAACGAAGGTCATGTTCGTAATCGTAAAACGGGACGGTCTTCGAAATTCAAGGTTGATGATGATGTACTTTTCATCGCAGCCTTGAAAGCCAACGTTCAAGGTTTGTCGAATTATGCTCAACCCCACAACATTGAATGGTGGAATAAGTTCATAGCAATGCAGAAAACACTCGACCTTGAGGACAAAAGTCTCAAAGAGCCTTTCGCGTGACCTTCTATCGAAATTGATGTCAGCAAACAAGGTGAAGAAGTTTCTTCAACCGCTGCTGGATTCGATCAACGCTGGGATAATCGTTTCCCTCCGGAGAGACCCGTCTACATCGGTGCTCGCAGGAGCAGACAGTTTCAAGAGGACAGAGATGAAAAGTACAACGATCTCGAGGTCAACACTTTCATCACACTACGAGCTTGTCCGGGGCAGGAAGAGAGAGGCAAACCTTACCACATTGGTAAGGTTGTCGAACTGCTACCAGATAAACGATTCAAAGTCGCTTGGTTTGCACAACGTGAGAAAGGAGAGGGTTACTATCTTCAATTCAAGATAAATCCTCAAGGAAAAATTATGAGAGAGCCTTCCGAGGACGTCTACGACTGCAGCTGCGACGTTCTTTGTTACAACTTCCAACTGAAGACATACAAGACCTTGTTTCCGCAGACCCGACAAAAGATATCCGAGATGTTGAATTCAATGGCAACGGAGGATGTTGACTAGGAATACCTTACAGGAACCGTTTGTTCGGGAGGTTGTCAGAGAGTCATCGCGATTGAGGTCATTTCTGGTTCCGCATCAGAACAGGTTCCATTTTGTCGTTTTTCGCCTGATTGTCTGAGTTCAGTCGTTAGTGGTTATTAAACTCGTGTAAAGTTTTGTACATTAGCAGGTCGTAGTTCGCATTACCCGTTGAGCCAGACATGTGTGGCCAACCTTTCTTGTTTTGGCGATCTTTTTCTTTGCATTTCCCGTACTTTTAGTTTTCGATTTTGAGAATCTGGAAATTGATTGAAGATTTGCAGTTCGAGTTTCAACTACTCGATTAAAGTTTTAGAGTTTTAAGTTTATTGAGATTTGTTAACAGATTTTCAACGATGTCGTATGCGTTTTCAGAGTTTCAAACGCTTGACAGATTACCTACCAAAATTTTATGGACTTTTGGTTCTCTTGCGTTTAGGCGAAAACAATGATCATTTTTGGAACATTTTTTTATGCCCTAAGCTCAACTGTCGATTGACAAAGCAATTGTTTCATGTTTTCGAACCARCTTCTAGTTTTTAACTTATAAGGCTATAAGTTGGTCAGTTTTCGATATTCGATTTTTCAATGTTGTATCATGCGTTTATGGGGCTATAAACACTTGACAGATTACCGACTCAAATTCAGATGTCCGTCGTTCATTTTCCAGAACTCTTTATAGGCCTATAATTCAAAAAATACTACTTTCGAATTTCAAGAGAATTCCAAGGGTCAATTCAAATTCTGGTAAAATTCGATGTTTTTTTTTTTTTATCCGAAAATTCGCGTTATAGGCCTATAAGGTCATGTTTGAATTTCTTTGAATTTTCGTGTCGGTCCAATTTGCTCAATCGTTTGCACTCGACTTTTGAAGATTTGAAATCAGCTCTCGTTGCCAGTTTTTTGCTTTGCTCTGGGTCCTGTGAATTTACTACCTTCGTTTTCATACTTCTATTTAAGTGCAAGAAAACGAGGACTACCGACCTTTCTGTTCGGCTTACAAAGTTTTTCCTCAGTTTTTTAGTCCATAGATTTGGTTTCGGAAAAGACTCTTCTGTTTGCAAAACAAAACTTCATGCACTGTACACTACTGACTGACCGTTTTGACATCCACCCAAATCAACCGAAAAATTCCCACGAGAAATGAAAGTTGAAAAAACATTTCATAAAAAAAAAATCCTTCATATTTATAAATTATCATTCCAATGTTCGTCCAATTCTAAAATTTTCAGTTTTATTTKATAAGTTTCCATCTAAATACGAGCTTTCCCTTCCAACTACATTTATTTGTTCAAGATGGAATGGAAGTCTGGACAAATTTAGGAAATGTTTTAATTAATCTTTCATTCGACTGCAAGAAATATCTTCTAATTTAGATTGGCTTAACCTATTTATGACTGAAAATCCTTACTTAGAATGACAGTCCAATAAAAATATTTCATGAACTCGTCCACACTTTCATTCCATCTCTAGCATGCAATTCAAATAAGAAGGGATACCCCATTCTTGGAAGGAAAGTTTTGAAGTAAGACGAAATTTTTTTAAATTGGAATGACATTTTTTAAAATGTCATGAAAATTTAAAATTTAAAATGTAATTTCACTATAGAATGATTATTTAATTTTGGGAAATTTTTCTATTGATCTCCATATATTGGAGACCTTTTCGCCAGCCATGACTAGGGGTCGCCTGTTTTCTTCGAAAATGGGCTCGTTTTTTCAACTGCGTTGTCGACCTCGAATATGTACTAGTTTTGAGGGTTTTTTTTAATGACATTTGAACATGAAACGACGCAAAATCGACCATTATTTCTTGAAATACGTTCTATTTCGTTTTTGTTTTCCTGTCTATAGGATTTATCTGGTTTTGGTCTGTTTCTCTGGTTTTCACGAATCCATTGTTTGAGCGGTTTGAGCCTGGAGGAGGGGGGAGCAAGATTGCCACACCTGCCGACGCCCTCTCCCTCACTAGCGTGGCGTAGCTTGCATATGGCGAGATAAACTTTGCTTGTCTTGTATGCTACGGGGTATCCTGCAGATGTGTCTCTTGAACACACACCGCGTCCGGCCAACCCCCATTGGCCGGGTTCTTTAACATATTCCATATCGCAGGTTTTTTTTTTTGTATTCGTTGAGCGAACGGATATCAATRTCAGCCGTAGCGAGCTTTGCTGCCCATAGGGGGGGCCTCGTGGTGGGGGGAAAGAGTCGGGGGGAAGGTGGACGTAGAGGGGGGTCTAGGGGTCGTGGGGGCGACTGAGGAGCTTGTGATGCGGGCAGCAGTTGGGGTTGTGACATTGAGCCAGGTTGGGACAACGGGTGATCGGAGGTTGGGCCAGTGGCTGCTGTTCCCTTGTATTTTGATTCATTTGCGTCAATGGTTGTTTGTGAATCATCAGTTCAATCCAAAGTCTTGATGGGGAGGACAAATGGGGGGTCGTCTCATTGATTGTGCTCCTCTAAAATATTGTCTTCCAGGAAGATCTGCATGAGGATTACCATTCTCCTCGCAGTCCAGGCACAGTTTGTTGTAAAGCACGCCGTGTTCAGRCTCATGAGTTGCTGGTGACTGAACCACTTGAGAGTGGAGCCARATTTGGATGCTCTCTCCTTTGGATCAATCAGCAGAATGACCGGGGTAATCCCTTTGGGGAATGTGTGGGACTTTGGCAACACCACTCCCAGTTCGTTGTGTATATCAACTTCTTTAATCCAATACCTTAGTCGCTTGAGAATGACGCCTGTGGATGGGTTGCCCCTCCACCCTGCCAGCGCAAATGCCCTCGGGGTCGTGCTTAAGTCTGCGCTAGCTTGACTGGTTACTGTTGCGAGGCGGGGGGCCCAACCCCAGCAGTCATTCCCCCCTTTCACGCTCCTGAACGAGGGGAAATATGACGACTCCAGGAGACATGGCCAGTGCGGTAATGTCATCCTCCTTGAGTCTCACCAGTTCCCTGAACTTCTTTGGGGGGACTTCCTCCTGTAGTTCCTCTTGTTCTCCCATCGCCTGTTGTAGTGAGTTGTCTTCGTCCTCATCATTAAGGATTGCAATTTCACGGTGCCGATGAAGGGGGGGTCCTCGCAGCACGATCGCTCGAGTGTGGTCACACTGCAGCCCGTGTTCCAAATTTCGGGGATCCCCCACTATGGACACCCGTCTTTCCAGGCTCCCGGGCCGGGGCTGTTGTTCCCGTGTGTCGGGGGAGGCATGCGGCATGATAACCATGGTGGTGTTCGGTCGGATCAGCCCCTTTCGCAGTTGTTGAACAGTTTCGTGCGATGGGGGGTACAGTGTGTCACACAGTTCGTGAATCAGCACTTTGGGCCAGGCCAGACCATCATAGAGGAACACCTTCTCTACGGCAGCCACAGGCTCGTGGACAATCCCAGGGTCGTCTCCTTGAGTCTGGGTCTCAGCATAATTTTGTATTTTGTCAAGGAACTCGTTCATCACTAGGACAATCGCAGCGCCAACATCCATTCAATCTATTGATGGGATATCCTTATACTTTTCGATTGTGACCAGGACTCGGGGGCTGTACATGAGAACCATTTTAGCCTCCTTCCAGTGTTTGTTCTCTAATCTTTCTGCAGGCCTATCGTCCATAAGTGAAAAGATCTTCATGTGAGGAATCCCAACTTCTATTTTACCTCATCATTTGTAGTAAGCAGTGATGGAGGACAGTCTTCACCTACCGGCGGAAGTGGAGGGGGTAGGATGATATCAACGTCGATGTCCATGTCCACCGCAGGAGGGAATTGACTTTCCGACTCCTGCTGCGGGGTGTGGTTCGGGGGAGATGTGTCCATATCTTGAGGTTTCTACCTGCCCTCGGATGAGTCTGGGAGTGCCTTGTCCAAGAGACCCAGCAGCATCGTCTGCTGCGGTTGTGGTTTGTGTCTTTCCACCTCTTGCTGCCAGAACATGAGGAATTGATCCTGCTGCTGGTTCAGGATCTGTTTTTGTTGATGACACAGTTGCTGTTGCCATTGCAGGTGTAAGTGTTGAAGGATATGTTGCTGCCACGTCAGCTTGTGTTGTTGTTGCTGATGATGGTAATGTGTCAGCTGGGCTCCCAGCAAGAGGTGAAACTGTTCCAAATAATCTCCTCTCACAGGTTGTTGCACGTCGTGCTGCATGTGTCGTTGTGATTGCTGTTGTTGTTGAGCGTGTAGCAATACTAGGTGTTGCTGGTGTTGCTGGGGGCAGAGCCCTGAGCGCCCTTGCACAGGTTCCTGCACGCCGTGCTGCATTTGTTGTTGTGCAAGGGCTTGACATTCCAGCTCCCTAAGCTTTGTGTTTGCAGATGCAAATGGCGTTGCTGTTCCGCTTGGGTTTGAAATCTTTGTTGTTGGTGTTGCAACTGCTGCTGCTGTTGCTCTTGCTCTTGTTGGGTATACTGCAGTTGTTGTTGCATTTGTGGCTGCTGTCCCTGAGTCGTTAACAACTGCATATGCAGCTGGCACTGGTTTTCCACCTGAGCTTACTGTGGATCTTGTTGCTGTATCGAGATGTCGAATTGTTCCCGTCCCTGGTGCAGTTGTTGTTGCATCTGGAGCTGCATTTGACGTTTTTCTTCCTGGAGTTGTGTTTGCAAATGCATCCGGTGTTGCTGTTTCGCTTGGGCTTGCAGCACTTGCTGTTGGTGTTGCAGCAACTGCTGCTGTTGCTCTTGCTCTTGTTGGGCACACTGCAGTTGTTGTTGCATTTGTGACTATTGTTTCTGAGCCGTCAGCAACAGCATCAGTGGCTGGCACTGGGTTTCCACCCGAGCTTGCTGTGGATCTTGATGGTGCAGTTGTTGTTCCATCTGCAGMTGCGTTTGGCTTTGTTCTTGCTCCKTTTGAGTATGTTGCAGTTCCTGATGTTGTGTTTGCAAATGCAACCGGCGTACTAGCTGTTCCGCTTGGGCTTGCAGCACTTGTTGTTGGTGTTGCAGCAAYTRTTTCTGTTGTTGTTGTTGTTGTTGGGCATACTGCAGTTGCTGTTGCATTTGTGACTGYTGCCCCTGGAGAATGGACAGTTGCTGGTGTTGTTGGTTCCGGTTCCGATCGTAAGCCCGTTCCTGCCCCTGTTTCAGTCCCCGATGTTGAGGCTCCCCGGTCAGCAGGGCAGGTGGGGGTTCCTGGCGGAGGTCATCCCAAGGGGGCTCGGGATGAGGTGTTGTCG